TCTCTCTCTCTCTCTCTCTGTCTCTGTCTCTCTCACAAACACACAAGCACAAACACGTACACCGAACACACATACTTTCTCCCCCCCCCTCTCTCTCTCTCTCTCTCTATCTATCTATATATCTATCTATCTATGTATCTATTTATCTATTTATCTATCTATCTATCTATCTATCTATCTATCTATCTATCTATCTATCTATCTATCTATCTATCTATCTATCTATCTATCTATCTATCTATCTCTGTGTTACACCCACACACATACACACACGCACGCACACACTCACATAAATATATATAAATGCAAACTTCAAAAGTTTCAAGAGGGAGCCATTCCATTTGAGTGCTGGTATATGTATGCAATTGTGTGTGTGGGGGGGGGGGGGTCTAGGTGAAGATGAATAGTAGTAATGAAAGGAGATAAATTATCTATTAGAGTAGAACTCGTATCTACCGTCACAATTTTAATTGTTGTATTAAAATATGTTTCCTGACAATGAAATGACAGTTTTGTAATTTCACAGTGACTTCATTTATTTCTATTCTTCTTCTTCATAACAGGAAAAGATTAAATCTGTTTTGAATCTATCCAAAGGAAATATCGCCAACCGTCAGAACTGTGTCTGGTTTTCCGCACTCACAGGTCGGTCCTAGGAAGCATGCAAGATTTTTTTAAAAATCAATTCGTTCGTTCTTAACATCGTTTCATTATACGCCAGTATTTCAAAATAGTGCTTAAATAGAGAAAGGTTCAAGCTAAAATCGAAATCAATCAAAATCAACCTACTCTCTTTCATCAATGGAAATCTCCTCGTTTTTCTTTTCACAATCTTTTATTTTTTTCGTCTCTGGAACCATGAGCTTGGCAACTGCAAATGTAGCCGGTGCGGAGATGAGCATGGCGGGGATGAGAAACTCTAAAGACACCTGTAGAATGGAGTATGTACATAATATACACTGATTAGTGAAATGTGTGGCATCCTGGTGAAATCAGGCGCTCTTCAAAATAATGAAATCGGAGAAACCGTCAATTCTCCTCTGGTTTGGCAACTTTTATCGAATTTGTTTGGGGGGGGGGGGGGGGGGCTCAACACCTTTTACGTCAACTTAAAACTTCACATTCCCCTGTGGATTTTTATTGAAAATGTAAATTTTCAGTTTCTAAAGACTCTCAAACAATGCAAGCCTCCAAACCTTGATACCTCTTTTGTGCTAATTTTAACTCTGAAACCAGGCAACTTCTACCTCCTTAAATTGCAAATATCCCAACTTCTATTCAAGATCGATGGGTTTGGGGTTTTTTCAACAAAAACAATACAAATGAACAAGCTCTGAGATAATACCGTTAACTCCACATGTCCAAAAATTGACGAGCGGCTGATTCCACCTCGTCATGACCCACAAACTCAAACAGAACGGGATGGGAGCCGCCACAGAACCGATCCTAGCGTGTGGAGGCTTAAATCATAATACATTGTACTCTAGACCGTGCATGTGTCACGGCCGCCAGTTTTTTGCTCTTACAAAATCTTCAGTACAAAGCGTGCGAAACCATAGTTGCCAAAATGAAGTGTACAACAACAGTGTCACAGCATAGTCGAGAGCGTGCAACGTTTTCGCTGGTTGCCATCAAAGAGGTTTCCCTGTATTTGACTTCACATTGAGTCAAATGGCGCTCTCTTAAGTGAACAGGAACTACGTCATAGTGCAGATTATATGAGATGACACTTTATTTTCCCAGTGTGAAATAATAAAAGTCAGTTACATGTTTAGTTAGTCAGTTGATATCTTTGCTCCTTTGTTCGTTCAGTCTCTTTAATTCATTCATTCATTCATTCATTCATTCATTCATTCATTCATTCATTCATTCATTCATTCATTCACTCATGCATTCATTCACAGTATACGTTTATACTGGTTAACAGAATATTCTAGCAGAACAGGACGGGGAGCCGACAATAGTGGTCCTAGCGTCTGATCTGATTTGCTTTCAAGCTGTTTAAAATTTCTCATTTATTCAAGTGTGAGGTTGGTGAGCGGTCAAGTATGGTCTGCTCCTTCTTTCTTCCCCAAAAAATGTTATCATTATCTCTCTTTCTTTTTTTCTTTGCATGTTACTCTGTAGTAACACCTATAATATTCGGCACATATGTGACCCAATTGAGCTGCAAGCACTGTAAAACTTTCACTATAGAGCTAAAAAGAAATCAACCCCAAATAACTCATTTATTCAAAAGTAGAACGGTCGTCCTTCTTTCCACTTCTCTGGTGACTCACAACGGATCAATGTACTTATTTATTTATTTATTACTTATATTGTAAATAAAGAAAAAAAGAGAAGATTGTGTGCCTTTTACTCACTCCCAGGGCTGAAAGGATGGCGAGATAGGCTCCGCCAAGGGAAGAATATACGGACACAATGACAGCATACAGCTCCGACTTGGTAAGGGAGGGAAGGTAGGGCTTCAGCACCATGATAGTCGTGATCTGCGCATGGAAGATATGTACATATAATATTTGAACACCGTGAGAGATAGATAGAGAGAGAGAGAGAGAGAGAGAGAGAGAGAGAGAGAGACAGACAGACAGACAGACAGACAGACAGGCAGACAGATAGACAGATAGAGAGACAGAGAGAGACAGACAGACAGACAGACAGACAGACAAACAGACAGACAGACAGACAGACAGACAGAGAGGGGGAGAGAGACAGGGAGAGACAGAGAGAGGGAGAGAGACAGAGAGAGAGAAGGGGAGATTATAAGAGAGAGAATACATGTGTGTGTGTGTGTGTGAGAGAGAGAGAGAGAGAGAGAGAGGGGGGGGTAGGTGGTAGAGATAGAGAG